CGTCCCGTTTTGCATGTTTCTCGGAAGCAAAATGAGCAAGAACGCTCGTTTTTACATCATTCCAAAGAGAACTAAATGGCCTTTTTAGCAAGTGAACCATCGATAAGGAAATGTTGCAGTTTTCTCAAAAAATGCTTGAATTCAAGAAGTTTTAGATTTGCGTGTTTTTTTTGAGTTGCAAAATCCACTTGAACATAATGCTGCTTTTTTCGAAGTTTCTCAAGAACCATTCGAGCCATAGAATTCGTTTTGGCATCGTTGGAGAGAGAATTAAAAAGTCGATTCAGTCGTAACAACATGTGAGGAAATTCTAGTAGTTTTGACACAGAAAGCGAAATTTGAATATCAGACACTTATGCCCAATTATCATGTTTTCCGTCCCGTTTTTGCTGATTTCTCGGAGCCAAAATGAGCAAGAACACTCATTTGTACATCATTCTAGAGAGAAATAAATGGCCTATTTAGAAAGTGAAACATCGATAAGGAAATGTTGGCAGTTTCCTCAAAAAATGCTTGAATTCAAGAAGTTTTAGATTTGCGTGGTTTCTTTTGAGTTGCAAAATCCACTTGAACATGACGCTGCTTTTTTCGAAGTTTCTCAAGAACCATTCGAGCCATTCGTTTTGGCATCGTTGGATAGAGAATTGAATGGGGGGTCATGACCCCTATGACCCTCCCCTGGATCCGCCCTTGTAATCAAATTTAATGCTGACTGTTTCTAAGACATACAGTTTTTATGACTAGTATACAAATCATTAATTCCAATTATAAATTTGAAATACTATAAGCCAGATGAAGCATAAAGCAGATTAAAATTTAATTTAATTCAAAGACCGTTGTGTAGATATTTTACAAATACATTTCTAGTCGTTTTGAGTGGACAATTTACAGAACGAGATGAAATATTAGAAACTTTGACTTCTGAGTTTTCAAATGAGTATTTTATTAACTCAACCTGCTTTCCATCTCTTTTACGAGAAATCAAAACTGATGGTGCCACTCACACAAGTCCTGGGAAATTTTGGCTTCTTCTGCCCTAACCAAACTTGAAAGTGTTTGTATCCTCAAAAATCAGTTAGCAGCTTTTGTTGAATCGAATTTCGGGAATATTCGTCCCTGGCTGGGTCGTAAGAAAGCAATGCAAATCACTTTTCCAGTAGTTGTAGCGTAAAAACCGCATTAACACGTATATTTTTGGTGTTACCTTTAAGCAATTTACCAGAGGCAATCGAAGCCTTCTAGTTTAGGCAAGACAGGACTGTTAAGGCCATGCGCCAAACAAATGCAATAAATCAAGATCTTTTTTATCTATTTGACGTTGCTTTTACCCTATATACAGTTGTATCAATAGCTTGTTAGAGCGACCAGACATCATAAGCCGGAATGGGAATTAACGAGAATGGTGTCGCTTGAATCTTTGCAATGGCTCGAAACTTTCTGAAATGGCTTTTAAAGCCTAGGCAATGAACGAGACACCTTCGGGTGCGTAGGATTGAACATGATATATGCAAGCGCGAATCAAACGAACTGAGTCGAACCAATCGTGTAAACTGTAAAGTGTATAGGAGTAATTTTTTATAAATAAGATGAAATATGTATAAACAAGATTTATTATTTACTTACACACTTATTAATATAGTATTCTAATTATTAATTAAAAGTATTCAACTTACTGATTCTGACCACTATCAGTGAACCTTTTAACTGCATTTTAAACTACCATCGATTTAGTACGAAATCCAATGGTAATTTGGACAGATTTTGCATCAAATATTTCTCTTTTATACATGTCTGGGTCAATAAATCCTGAAAAACGTCCCTATGTTTTGCGAACATGCGAATATATCGAAAACCGTTTCTTTTTCCGTGCTAATAGAGCGAGTAGACTTCGAAGCTATTGACAATACACCACAATTGGACTGTGACGACAACAATTATATAGAAAATATAGGCTCAAAAATATACAGTGCTTCGTCAAGTGCTCTGTCTTCTTCGGACGTTGGAATCATCAATGATATCTGCACTTTATCGGTTTATATTTTCCTTTCCCGATTCTAAAATGACACTTCGTGGCTCCACTGAAAGATTTCAGTTTAACTTTCGATGTACAGATGTTCTCTTGTGTTTTATTATTAATTTAAGAAATCTGTTCATTCCATTTGAAATCTTTTGCAATTCTTGTAAGTACATAATCACTCCCCACTCTATGCATTCACGATCTAGTCAGCATTAATCTATATGTCCACGTTTGAAAGCATTCATATTGAGTCCATGCCTCCATTTCGTAGTCCAGAAATTAAACATCCAACGTTATATTCGACAGCAAATGGAATAAACAGGCTTAATTTTTTTTAAATTTTGGCATGTTTTATTTGTGCATGAATTTCCGACATATTGCCTTCATGTTCCTGAAATATAGATATTTATATAATTGGACACGTTCAATTTTGTTGGTTCGGTACATGGACAACTAACATTTGGCTCTTACTAATCGCCCATCCATTTCGGTTTTTGGAGGGCAGGTTTAATCGCACATGATGGAGTAAATTCTTTTGGGTCTCCACAGAATCAACGCTTTAATATAATCAGCTTCTCTATCAAATATTTATCATATGTATATAAGCAGAAGTGGTGAAAGGGCACAATCTTGTCACACTTTATTTTATTCGTATTGCGTCTGATATTTGTTGATTTACCTTCGATTGTGAATTTTGGATCCAGTTAACAATTAGTCTTATTCTGAGTTCTGTAATTAAGGTCTAAATTTTTGCAGTTTTATAAGAGTTTAGCGTCGCTCTCTATTGAAATATTTTTTGTTGTTCACGAAACGAGGATGCTCAGGAATGGCAGCTTCGGTGGAACCTTTGAACTATGACTTGAATATCAAATAGGACCTCTCTTGTAGAAAACCCAGCGCAAAAACCAAACTGGAATTAGGCCATTTTACACATTTTCTCTTATGGAAGATTTTCAGATTTGATTTTTGAGTACGTTTTCTAGCTGGTTGGGAGATAATCATTACAATATGATGATGAGTTTATATTTGAAAGCGTTGCAAACGTTGGTTTAAGCCCTTAAGTTAGAAGATATTCTGCTGATCTGTAGAGCATTTGAAAATTCTTCATTTGCTGATACTGTTTTGATACTGAGTTGGAGCCCAGTCTTCGTCTCGTTGTATCCAATCCCTCTAGAGCATATTATTCAGAAGTAAACGGTTTTTCACCTTGAAAATAGTTCTCGAAATAGTCCTTATGTTCATATTTCCTCGTTTCTACTTTCTTCCTGGTTAACATCAATAGTTATCTTGACCGTCCAACAGAATATGGTCAGCTTTCTTAATTTTCTTTCACTATCTATATACAGGGTGTTTCACAAGTACATGGGACACATTTTTGTGTGCAAAAATCATAAATTTTTCAAGATTTTAAAAGCAGTAGAAAATGTCCAAAAGGGACTAATTCCTCATTTCGACTAAAATTCCATCAATCCAGCATTCAACTAAAAAGTTCTAATAGTTTTTGTACTGCAAGACATTCAAGAATTCACCACTTGTCCAAAGCGGATGAACTCGGTTACTTCATCAAAATACAAGTCTTGCATAGAAACAAATTCACAGCTAGTTTCATTAGAATCCATAGTTTTCCCAGTATATCAAAAATCTAGTTTTTCAATCAACAGAAGTAAAAAAATTGTTTTTTCTTGATAAAAGTTAGATTGGATCGTTTTCTTTTAAACCAAAGAATGTCGTAGTAGATGTTTGGGCATGCGCTGAGGGGATATCCTGTAAATATATTCCTTGCTAATAATAATTAGCCACTTTTCTTAGATAATTTATCTGAAGATGAATCACGATTAATCCGTTTATATTTTTATGCTGATATTCCGTCTGATATTTTTCAGACGTCTTTCTTCCATTATATTCATTCAATTATCCAAGCCTTCGTTTTATCTTTTTCAATAAACTTTTCTTAATTACAAAGTCCAATAAACATCTTTTTTGTATAATAGATAATAATGTATAACAAATTATATAGCTGATGCAATATTCGCCTTCAGCAAATCACCATCCAATCAAGCAAGTGGCAAAAAATATAAAGGGGAGTGAAGGATACTAGATAATATAGAAACCATAATAATTACTTCTTTTCAATTGAATTTTATTTCTTTCCTATTTTTTTATATTTTAAACTACATTCAATTGATACATACATGTTAAAAACCTATGAAATGACATTTTATACTAAAGGGTACTGTTGTTACATATTTAAATAATCTTTAAAAATGTAAGGCTGTAACTCAATTAACATATGTTTTAATTTATTCTTAAGCAATTTTTCAATTCTTATTTTCTTAATGTTGTATTCTAGTTCATTAAATAATTTTATTCCCATATAGTAAGGACTCTTTTCAGACAGTGTTAATCTGTGTGTTGGATACAAAATGTTTCCCGTGCGGATGTTTTGAATGAACTTCTACCACTTGAACGTGGTGGGAGAAACGAAAATAATTAATTCCCATTAAATTAAGCGCCCACTGTAATGAAATTGGAAGCAATATGCATAACGATTTGACTAACGACATGCTGCCAATCATTTAACTCCACTCCTTAAATAGAACATTTTCTACCGGAAATAAACAGAACAACATAGTTCCAGCACTTGCGCCTCGATTTGTAATTAAGATATGCAAACACGTAAAAGCCCGAACTATTAAAGAATTTACAATTTCCTTGCTGCTTAATCAGCGATGATTACCCTTAAGATTTGAGAACTTCTTATCGTATACCTTTGTTCGAAATTATTAATTATATTTTACTAAAATTGTTTGTTCAACGCTGCGTTCTCTCAGGAGAAAGTAATCTTGGCATTAGCATGGATCTAAGTATAGTAGATCAAACTAGAATTATATTTGCTTAAGACTGATCAGGAAATTGATGGCAGAAACAAGGAGCTTCAAACGCAAAAGCCTTTCGAGCAAGTAGTTTTGTTTTTCGTTAACCAATTTGTTTTAGATTCAACTAACCCACAAGGCACTTGATCCTAGGAAAATTTTCAGATTTCCTCAATCAATTCGGGCACTATATACATACTAGCACTTGACATATTTATTAATAGGCAAACTTTTTACCTGTGCTTTGGTTAACACTTTAAACCGAAACCTTTCTGATTATAAATTATGCGTATCTCGCTAAACTCTACGTCTGTGATCATGCAGTCGTAAGATTTGTTATTATTGTTATAATAATTAGTATTTTCAATGTTTCAGAACTCCAATGAAGAAGACGAACTTCTCTAGAGTTTAGGTAATTATTAAAATTTTAGATTTAGTTATACATATGTATCTTTTGTTGAATAAATCATTTGCTAATACTGGCGAAATGATAAATTCCATTATAATTTAAATCACCTCATGGAATAAAAGATGGATATATTCGATTTGGGGTGCTCAAAATGTGAAGTCGATCTTCTGGATCTACGAATCTCTTTCGTGATCCCTTTCTCCAATGATTCCATTAAATGGTAATAACGAGCAGACCGATTGTTTTATTATTGAAAGCAGACACGCGACCTTGTCCTTAAAGCAACTCCTAACTTTGCCCTGCTTGCGTCATGGTTCAATAGCAAAAATTAATTATGAGAAAATAGTTACGGAATGATCCTAAGTGAGTTAAGACAACGGTCCAATTGAATATTTTATTGTACCTAATACGATGCGAGGAAAAAATACAAGTCTACAAACGCCGCTTGCATTTTTTATATGCAAAAAGAAATCATGTTCAACCAGAAGATGGCCTATCTGCAGGATACTGCGTAATAATTAATTGTCTCGCTCTTGTAAGGACGAAGAATAAATCATAATATAAGGCCATAACGAAAAACATGTGAAAATGTACAGGGTACCTTAATATCAGAAAAAAATGCATGATGCATGATGATTTTTTATTATTTAACAACTGCACCAGATCTTTGATGCTGTTGGAAATCATTCTGTATAAATATTTGCAATCACTGATAAAAACGCGTGTTTAACTTTAATGTAAAAATTACTTGGGTAGCATTGAAATAACTATAACCCCGAGAGCCGCATTATCGGACTTTCCTCAGGGGAACTGTCATTTGCTAATTTGCCTGTGATGATGTTGACCGATTCCTCTATTGGTAGATTAATTTGTAAACAAACTCAACATCAAAGTTAACGAATTTATACATTCCGCCAGTTCAGTTGAATTGTTTTGAGCCTATTTACAACCTGATTATTTAGTCAATATTGGGAATATCTAACAAAATTGGTTGATATGAACCAACTGTTCGAATGCTAAACTTTCAACCTCTCAATTAACAGATAGACAATACAACGATTTGAATAAATTAATGAAGAAAGGAACAAGTGTATTACTTTAAATAAGTTATTCCCAAGCTGATTAAGATATTCTCTAAAAATTTTACACCCCAAACGAAAAGATTTACTGGACCAGAAAATCATTGTAAGTTCTCATGCTGAATCATTGGCTGAAATACAAAACATCTAAATATAGCAACGAGCGCCAGAATTTCTAAATTGCACACATTTTCTTTTAAACTGCTATGCATCTGCTACTAATATTTGCGGTATTTTTTACGCTGATAAGAGTGATATAAGCTACTTCATATTGCTCCCATCAAATAACACGCATATTGAATAAAAGAACAACATTTCATTTTATTTCTTTTAAACTCTTATAGCAATAGAATCCAAGATATAAATTTCTTTCCACTTTGGTAAACATAAAGTCTCTTATAAGGCTCTTGTCTGATGATGTGTTTTGTCATTTTATAAAGGTTTTGCAGGCTTTAGCGCTGAAGCCCGAAGTGTTCAGCGTTAAACGTACTATTTAACTGACTTTCCTGTTTTGGTTAAATTGTCTCTAAACTAATTAGGTTTATTACATTTTAATGGCAACACGATAATTTCAAATAATTTGGTTTCGCCTACGTAAATGCGAAGGAAAGGTGACTGACTAAGGTACTTACAGGGGTTATAAGGGGATTTTCAACCCCGAAAATTGTTCCCTGGAGAATTGTGTAACAAGGGTAATGCTATCATTCAAAATAAATGCAGTTTTGCTGACTACGTCGACGTAAATTTATTATCGAAATGTGACTAATTAGTAGATCCACGCAGACGAAATCGATAGATAGTAATCCTTAGAATAAACTGATAACGACGATTCTGTTATAGCGTTGACGAGTCTGAACGATTATTTTTATTTTAGGAAAACTTGCAACCATTCGCAGACAGTAATGGTAGTCAATTTCCGATCACCTACGTACGTACGATCATCTTGTAGTTTTCACTGATATTTTTTTTCATGCCCTAATTTGCTTAACAAATAATTTTCTTCACTTTCTCGACATAATACTGAATACTAAATGCGATTTGCCAATGGAATCTTGCAGACAATCGGCGACTGGACACTGGTACGCCATTCTCACTTGTGCAGTCAATATATTTTGCTGACTCCAGCTTTGTTTACCGATTTTTTACTACCCTGCCAGCCGTGATGGTGATACATGGCAATGGATTATTTTAGATTTCTGGTGGACAGGAATTTTTAATTAACATTAGGTATTCCTAATAATTGTCCCGGACGTGCGGGAGGAAATACGCGGTCATCAAAGTTTTCCGATTGCAACCCGTGCGGTTTTTTTTGAGTTTCTGAAAATGGCTTCAGCTGCAAACATTTCATAGACAGAAGAAAATTAAATGTTTTAATAGAAAATGCCACCCAAATTAATCGCGGCAAAACACTCGTTTTTCATCGCCTGCTAACGTGCTTCGACTTGCCTGCGTAGAGCAAACTTATGTGTACGTGAGAATCGTGATAACTTCCAATAGTTTCTCTAGAAAGGGCAGGACCGTACTGCAGAGACCAATTATCGGGGATAAGGTCAGTTCAAATTATTTTATATTGTGTTTGCATGAATATTACAGAACTATCTAACATAATGCATATGTGTTCTTTGGTTTATGCGTTTCAAATTTGATCACGTTTCAAGTGGTTTTGAACAAATACGCTGCTTGTTGGATGGATTTTTAGCTTTTTGCTATCTCAGATTTACATAAAACTTTAATATTCTTAATACTCTTTTAATAAAGTTGTTGCGTTGGGGCTGATCTGATATGGTTGAATTAAGTGTGTACACTCTTGTCTAGTTGCAGCAGCAATTTTTTCATTGATATTTGGTTTTTTTTCGACATTCGACAGAATTTTCTTCAGTTAAAGCACTTAAAGCAACTTCAATCCATTATAATTTGAAGAAGAGCTAAATAATTTACATGCTATTATTCTGCACATTTTTACTCCAAAGCTTCTGTTCAAAGTGAAACTGTTCGTCGGGTCGAAAGCTTTAAACTTATACCATCATTTTTTCACCAACAGCTAGAGTCTCTGCAAAACATTTTATTATTTCTGCACTCCAATTAAACAATGTTGCACATTTTCAAGTGAGTTCAGCTTTCAAATGGAGTTTAAGTTGGGTTTTTATATGCATTCAGTGTATATCGTTTGTCAATTTGAAAATTTCCCACCCTTAATATCTTTCTTGCAGTTAAAAATATGTATATTTTATGGTATATGCTTTTTATTATAAGCAAATGCAATGCTGAATACACGCCCTGTGCTAATTAATAGATACATGTACCAAAAAAAGTATGTTAAATTCAATTTACTTCGGTGGAATTATCAAAATATTTCGTAATTTCCAAGTTCCAAGTTATGTGAAATATAAAAATCAGAAGGAATCGAGAATCGCACTAAAGAAATGTTTTACGCTCGTTTGAGAAATTTCACCAAGAAAGCAAATAAACCAATTGAGATTTTTTTCTACAAGGCAACTTATATGTATGCATAATTTACCCATTATGTATGCCTACATAACAGGTTGGGCATATCTCAAAAACCATCAATCGCAGAATATTCGGCAGAGACATTTGCAATACAGGAGAATGCTGGAAATAATCTTCGAGTTTCTAACTCGACCGCAATGAAGTCGAGGGGTGAGTTGTGCTAGTGTGCTATTTATGCATTCCCTTGTTGAACTGTCAGCGAAAAAGCCTACAACTTTATTAGGCAGATACTTTCTCTAACCCTAATATACGGGGAATATACCCTGTATAAAATAGATGGCTCTATTTAAAATTTGTCACTATACGGGTTGCGTAAAAAAGAGTCTAAACTATATCTAAGTTAATGGAGATATGGAAGAATATAATTTTTTATTTTAAAACAGCCTCGAGGAACTGTAACCACCAATTACTAATGAAATACAATCTGTCGGACAGTGTAAGCGTTCGAACAATCACTCTTATTTGCGAAACGTCAGGAAGCAAAAAAAAAAGTGCTTATTTAAATGAAAATAAATGTGGGACAATATAGCTAACATTCACATCTTTAAAACCGTTACTTTGGTTTACGAGGTATCCATGATTATAGTCTAAATATTTTATCCTCGTTTTCTGCACCCCGAAAAATAGTTTTTTCTTCCTTTCACATTTACATAATATTCGCCTGAGGCTGAATAGAAATTGTTTCAAATAAAGCAAAATTAAGAACCTTTAAATGCACTTTTGTCTGTTTTGTCGCCCAGCACAATTGAATTTCCAATGTGACTAGGATATATGTAAGTCCGGTTAAATGGTTAGGAACTTACATTTGCCATATTGAATCGTCTATAGGTGTTTGATATTAGCAAGCCCAGTTGCAAAAATGTCAACTGATGAACTGATGATCATTAAAGATATGTTTACCGTTACAAATGGTTGTACCAGAAGTGCCGTTTATTTTTTCTGAACATTACGCCGGTAGCTACTAACCGAAGTCCCTGTTCAATACCTAAAAAATTAGTTTTATTTTATTAAGTTTAAAAATGGTCAAATTATTGAAAATTAGCGTATCTAATATGCTAATGCCGTCTGACACTTCAGTTTGTTAATATGCAATAAACCTCTCTTACAAAAAAGCAAAAATCACTCGCCAGTATAAACATTGGCGATATAATTTCAAACGATTTAATCCCACATATAGGTACATACATATTTCCTTCCAGAAACAATTTTTTATTTAATGTCCAAAATTACAAGAGCCGAATAAAAATATTCCTAAAGTAGTTGTGATTTTCTGTTAGTGTCATATTAGTTTCATTTACATTTCATGACACCTCGCAATGGAAGAACTAACTGGGCGTTCGGCGCTGATAAGGTTTCAGTGAAGAACGTTTTTACTTACTAAATTGCAGTAGGAAAAATAAAATAAAGTTTGGCAGGTCCCCGTTCCCCTCGGTCACTTTCTGTATCATCCCTTGAGATCTGAAAATGCCGCAGTCCAAAGCGA